TAATATTATTTCATACAAATACATATTTTTTAGTTATTTCAAGGAATTTGTGTTATCTTTTTGACGCATCGTTTAATGAAATCTTTTCCTCGTGTAATAAATATGTTTAAGTATATTGAAATAATTTGTTATTGTTATTGAACACTATAAACGTTAAAATTAATACAATATATTACTTCAAAGGTTAAAAAACATAATATTCATATAGTGAGCTATCTTTTTGTCGCGGAGTGTACTCAACTTTAGGACTATGATAGAAAATCAGAGAAATCGATATTGGCTTCCTTTTTTATCCGACTTCGAAAAGGAGGAGGATACTCAATTCGATGTGTATATTTTTTTTTCTTTTTTTTTCTACAGTTTTACTTAATCATTTTTTTATTTTGAAAATTTTGTTTCCTTTTCATCTAAAAATGCAATATACTTTCGTCAAATTTTTCAAGCACCAGCCACGTATAATTTCCTAATAAATCATTCGTTTTCCAAATCACGTCTCCACTTTCATATATACATATACATCCCTTTATTTTTTTCTCTTTCGCCCTGTTGTCGTGCAACCGTCCGCTGCCGCGCTGTTTGCAGTTTCGGGGCTGCTATTCGCGTACCACCGCATATTGCTACCCGCTCGCTCCTGTGCAAACTGATAGTCTCCGAGCGTGTGCCTGCGTGTTTTCCACGGGATTTCCATATTTCTTCCTATATAGCCGTGTTTGTTTTCGCCATTCTCGATATTAAAACGCTTGAGTGGATCGTTGGTCAGGTCTTCGACTTCGACGTTATTGTCGTGTACCCTCTTGAAGCTTGTTGTGATTTCTTATGGGATTTGGACGTTATATTCGACACAGATGTTACGATATTTACTCGCCAGTGGAAAATTCTACGTCAGTATACTGATTTTCCTATCGTCTATATAAATTCATAAATTTTTGTGAATTTATACCTCTCCGTTTTATGATTTTTGTATTTGCAATTTGTGATTATGGAGATTCTAAATCGTTCTGTATTTTTTCAACTTTTGTTTCTTAAAAATACAATTCGTTTGTTGTTTAATTTGTATCGGTGGTGCGTGCCTCGAATTTACGAATAAAAACCCTCTGGCAAGGGGACGGAGGGATTTTTCCCTGAGGATATTTCGAGGACTGTTTATGAAAAGGTACTGCTGAAGTCTCGCACCACGGAAAATGAAGTTTGAAGACCGCTTTTATTCTTCTTCTTTTTCTTCCTCTTTCTGTGAGGATTATTTATGCGAAACCCGTCAATGAAAATTTCACGTGTTGAAAATAAACGTTCAAACTTCTGTGAGACTGGTTTTATAAATCAAAATTAAAAAGTCTTTCGCGGAACATAGAGATTGAAAATTTTTGATTGTCTGCGAATTATTGAATTCATCAATGAGGATTAAGCTCAGTGATAATGACGATTTTAATTCAGTTCACAAGGGGATTAAGTTTTACTCGACGATGTTTACAATTCGATTTGCTGTAGGATTGTATTCGTCCAGGCTTGATTTTGCTATCAAATTTTAAGATTACTATCGTTTCTATGTTTATTCGAATTTTCAAAAAATTATTTACTGTATTGTACATAACGAATTTTTAAAAATATTTTATTTTAGACTATCACTAAAAATAGAAATGTAAAGTTAAAAGTCATATCTGTATATCTCTTGAAAAAATTAAAATTTTTAATTTAATAATTAACCTATGAAATACAATTCTCAAGGTTTACTTATTTTTAACCCTTAAACAGCGGAGCCTGAGTCAATCGTAACTTAAATTTACAAACTATAGTTAAATGTATAACTTTTAAACAATATTGGAAAAGTACAGAATTAAATTAAAATTGGGTCTCTTTCCATGGTCCGCCGTCCGAGGGTTAAATAAAACGCTCCTTTAAGTTTAATCCTCAAAGTTGCTTTTCTTAAAAACAAAGTCACATAGGAAAAAATTATATTTCACATTTTTTTCTTACTTTTTTCATGTAGAATCTCCTTTTTTCTTGTTGTACGACCAGTTACGTTATATCCTGTACAAAACAAAAGATATTCTCTTCAAGGTAAAATCTCTCTTACTTTCTTTCAACCAGAAACTATGATACTTTTTCAACAACGAACTTTGATCTCCGGTGAGTTTATAAAAACAAATAAAAGTGGACAAGTTTCACAACGAAAAATACCGCAAACAGTCCCATAAAATGAAACAATCCGGTAGATCGTGTGGAGGTTCGTGGCTTTGTCAATTACAGTCGATTCGAACTTAACAACCGTTGGGCTGATGAGCTGACGAGCTATACATCGACGACGAGGAGGAGGACGAGCTGAAAAAACAACGAGAGCATTGTACAAAGGCATAAAGCCGAAGAGAAACGCTTCAGCGGCTCGAAAACGAGACACCGTCACTGAGGCACTGACTGAATCGCTGCATGCACGCGTGTGCTTCGGCTCCCTGAAAAACCGGAAAAGGGTCGAGCACCTATTTCCGGCGGCGGGGGAGACTCGGCCATTATTAAAAGTATAAAGCCACTTCCGCGCGTGCTACACCGAACGAGAACAGAAATTAAATGGAAGAGGAGCACACCTTCCGGTTCGCGAGCTAATGATTATTATTTTCCTTCTTCTTTTATCTACCCTCTTCATCGAATCCTACTCTTTAATCAGGTTTCGATGAATTATTGCTTTTTTAGTGTCAGTAGATTGTTTCCAATGTGAAAATTTTTAGATTTTTTTGGTATGTTATTAATTTGGAGTATTTAATATTTTATGAGATCAGTAATTAATTTAATGTTTAGAAGATTTTTGTTGGATATCATTGTCAACACTCGTTTTCTTTTCTGATTTTTCATTTATGGCGCCATTGTTTTCTTTTATTTCGTATGGCGTTGCCAGCGCCGTCTTTCTCAGTTTTCCTCTGTTCTATTGTTTTTATACGTTATGTTCTAACAAAATACGTTTTACAACATGAGTAATAAAGTGCGTTTAAAGAACTCTTCTCAAGTCTCATTAATCAAACGAGACCCCTGATAAAATCCCTGATAAAACCAACAATTTTAATTCAGAATAATAATAGCGACGTTATTGTAAAATTACTTAAAAAAAATTTATTTCTAAATTTTTGTTCTGAATTTTATTTTGAATTTTTGTATATTTTAATTGTTTATTATAGAACTTTTATTATTTAAATTTAGATTTTTGAATTCATATTCATATCTTACGTTCTTTTTATTTTATAGTAGTGTAAGTCTATCATTAATGAAAATGTCTGACCATTGTCATGCTTATACTACTAGATGTGCATTATAATTTGTTTATTATTGTTGTTCAGACATCCTTTATTGTTCAGTTTGGAGTTTCGATCTTGAACCCTATTCTAAGTGAACAATTTAATTCTTTAAATCAGAATCACTACAGTAGTATAGGTTTATCATTAGTAAAGCCAATACTGACCATTACCACATTTATACTACTAGAAGTTATGCATTATGATTGATTTATTACAGATTATTTACCGCTTAACCTTGGATTCTTGGATCTTTAACCTCATCCTAAATTACCTATGTAATTCTTTAATTTATAAGGGATTACTGCAGTAGTACAGGTCTATCATTAATGTAACTATGTCTGACCATTGCCATACTTATATTACTGACATAATAAAGAGCTCTTTACTGCACAAAACATAAAGTGCTCTGTATTTGTTAATTGTTATTAATTTTTGCCCTTCTTAATATCACATTATTATGGCCGCTATTAACCCCTTGTTGCGTAATTTTCTTAATTTTGATTTTGAAAAAATACATTTTTGAGCTCTCAGTTATAGTAATAACAAAAGAATAACAATAATTTAATTTTTATTTACTTTACAAACTTATTTAAAGCAAATTTTGTTATACTGCAAGCTATAAATTTTTTATTTTTTATCACTTCATTTATACAGAAATTTGTTCACTTTATTTATTATTTTATGTAGCACATTTGCAACACAGTGGAATAAAGGATTATTAAAAAATATTATTAAAATGATTAAATTGTTCAATCGTTCAGTTCCAATTGGCAAGCAAAGAACGTTCAAAAATAATAAATCTTCTTTGAATTCACCCTCGCCCCTTCACTGAAAACACGTCCACCGACCGAACAACTTTATAATAACCCCACGGTTAAACGCAGTTATTTCATCCTCACCCCTGACTTTCAATATTTTCAACTTTATCGCAGACTCCCCTTTTTTCTTTCTTCCCCGGGAACACGTTCTTCTGTTTTCTTTGTTTCTTTCCTTCTTTTTTCTCTAACGTTACCATTTCTTGTCGTTCTTTCTTTTACCTCCCTATCCCATCCCTAAGCCAAGGGACGACAATCGAATGTCATCGAACAACCCTCTTAGACCCGTGGGACCGGTTGCACCGTATCGAAGAGAATGTTTTTATGCTTTCTTAGATCGTCTCGATCAGCCATTTAGAATTTCATAGCACAAAGCAGCGATTTATCATCCCTTCACTCCTGATAAATTCGGCAGATCGAGGTATAAGATTCTTTGCTTAATCTTATAACGATTTACTCGTCTGTTTTTCCATTTTCTGTATGTTTTGTTCGTAATTTGGAATTTCCTTGCAATGTTAATTTTTTTCTTTTTAATAAAAGTTTAATATTATGTCGACTAGAAGGTCATTAACTAAGGGGTTTTCTGTTATTTTTTTAAATTAAAGAGAAACTTATGATATACTTGGTTAATTGTTTTGATAGTTAACAAGTATTCCACCTTTCAGTAGAGAAAATCAACTATTCGTCAGACATGAAAAGAGTGCACTTCAAAGGGGTTGGTTTCTTGGAAATATCTCGACAACGGCATTCTGTCGCGTGCTTTATGAAATATTTTATACAGAGAAGAGCACGACAGGCATTCCGATCATTTTCTTCTGCTGTTTCATAAAGCATACAACTTCATAAAATGATTACCAAAGAATTTCAATAATATCTATTTCGTGGAAATAGATTATTACGGACTTACCTGTGTCCGTGGTTCCAGGTAAAAGAATAGCATCGTCCCGGAACCAGGAGGTGACTGTCAAGTGTTCTTTGACGTCTTCCCGTGCTGTGCAAGATAGAACGGCGTTACACCCCTCCAGCACCGGAGATCTATTCACCCTTACGTCGTAACCAGGCACCGTTAGCACTAAAATCAAAAAGAAAAATCTCGGTTAGATGTAAACTTTGAAACAACAACCGTGATGCATTACTATTCTTTTTCTAGCTTCCTTCTCCCCTAAAGTGAATTTTAAATATGGCTTGGAGACATGGATACGCATCCAAAGCCGATTATTTTAGTATTAAATTTCACATAAATCTAATTAATTAAGAAAAATTATATTGGTGACTACTATTACTAATTTTAAATTTTTTCATATATTTTGTGCTAACATTAGACTTAATATAGAATAAATATAGAATAATATAGAATGAATAGAATAAACTCTCGTTATATCGCCACTCTTTATATTGTCAGTTGTACAAATTTCCCTTTACACATGTTCTGGTTTTGAAGTAAAATATCACACGAAAGGAGTTCTTTCTATATTATTAATCCCAAGAATGTTCCTTAGCCCTGTACACGGCAATATAGCAAAAGTTTATTATATCATCACGATACTAATAAGGTATGAAAAAAAATATCTTGATTCCTCTATCGGAGAATTATAGTTGTGCTACTGTTAACATTATTCTCACCCAGCATATAAAAATATTACGAGTTTTATAAGAATTTGAAGCATAAATGATTCTACCTGAATTTTTTTCTATGCCTTTCAACGAGTTTTATTCGAATATGTATTTCTCGAAGAAAAGATAGAAAATAGATTTGTTGGGGTAAATTCCTCGGCAGAAAGATAAGATTAGCAGGGCATCCGGAAATTCATTTTCAGCTCCAGCAGTTCCGTCGCTGCTCCATTTATTTCGAGATCTGACAGGTAGCTACGATATTGCTCTTAATAGCACTGTCAAGTCAGGCGTCATGCTGTTAGGCGTCTCATTTCGGAGGCACAATTTAAGTATTAAATGTAACGCGTTTAAGTCGGCCCCTTTTCCTGCTGCTGACATCCTGAAAATTCGCAATAACGCGCTTTTCTATTCCTGCCGGAGGTAACAGGTAAACGTCGTTGGTTATTAGACAACATCTTGCCTTGGATGAATTTATATTGTTCCCCCATGTTTTACAATAGCGAACCGTAGAAAAGTGAATTTTCAGGAATTTCATTCTGATGGAAACAATTTTCTCAAAGTAAATTGTAACGAATTTTCAAGCATTCGTTTAAAGAGAATTGCTTCTAGAAATGTTTGGGGATGTATTCTGCAAGCTAATTTAAAATACATCTTGCATTTATTACATAACATATTTATTCATAATATTTATCGTGTTTTAGTAAAAAAATTTTATTATTAGATATTAAAAATCTTAAGATCTGATAATTAACGTTCATCCATTTTAATTCCTAATATCAAAAATTTGGATGTCTAGTAATTTATTATTTAAAATCCTAAAGTTGAAAAAAAGAGAAGTATTGCATTTGAGATATTTCATTAATATTATTGAAATTTTATTAATTATAATTATTTTCAGATATTACAAATTTCAATATTTAATATCTTATAATTAAAATTTATTAATTTTAATCCTTCATTAAATTAAATAAGGTCTCTCCATGGTCCGCGGTCCGAGGGTTAACAAAAGTAGCCTAACTACATTTTAAATTTACGGTGAAAATAAAAATAATTAAACCATGAAAAACGTTGAATTTATCATGTAAAGATGAACTATTTGATCAAAGAATCATCCCTTAAACTATTAACCTACTTAATCTACTTAATCCACTTAATTCGATTTATTAATTTATTAATTTATTTTTTATCATTTAAAATTCCAAGTTTGAAAAAAATATTTAAATAAACTGAAACTGCATATTCATATATTTCAGTAATATTCATCATATTCTAATAATTACAATTAGTATTAAATATTAAAAATGTTAATACCTAATATTTAATAATTAAAATTTATTAATCTTAGCAATTAGTATCATTAATTTTAATGTGTAATAATTTCTTATTTAAAATCCTAAAATAAAAAAATTTTTTTTAAATTGAGAATGGCAAGTATAAAAAAAGTTATTGCAAACTGTAAATATAAAATTAATTTCAAAAATGAATCTACAAATTGTTAAACCAACACTGACATCAATCTCCCTTTAGTATAATCTGCATAAATATTTAAAGAGCTTTTCACTGAGTGGCTTGTAGAAGAAAATTCCAAGTGCTGATGTTTCATCTTGAGTTATTATTCTATTACGGTGGTCAGGTAAAAAGAGTGTCTATGCAGTCGAACGTAAAGGGGGGTGAAACGAAATGAGGTAGTGGAAAGAAGGCGTTATCGAGGGCGATAACGTCGCTAAATTGAACAGAAAATAAGAGCGAATCGATGGACTCGGGAAAGATTTTGCTTCTTCCGCTTTAAATTGATTCATTTGAATAGAAAAATACATCGTTTGTAGCTTCGTACCCCTTCCAATCCATGATTTACAAAAGAGATATTTAATTCCTCCCTTGGACGGACGAAATGTACGAATTTAAATATTTGAGAACGTACAAGAAGCTATCTTTTTTATTTCATTTTCAACGTTAATATTTCATGTAAATTTGCAGGTCCTGTTTCAACTGCATTACTGTATTACGAATATAGTTGAAATGAAAGACTGACATTTCGTAATTTTATATGATGGAGTTGATGAATTTCAGAATTATTTCACTGTTATATTCACTAAATAATATTAACAAAATTTTTTCCATTATTTTCGGATTGATTTCATCCTGTGAATTAAAGGTAGAAGTTTTGAATTTTATTATTAATTTAAAGCGTTTCATTTTATATTTTAATAAAAGTTGATAGCAGTGCCAGGATGAAGAGGTCTAAGGAGATCTGGGCCTCACTTTCTCGGGACTCTTTTCTGAGAGCTTACTATATTATATGAAATTCATTTTTATTGTTATTCATTTTCTTTGCGTTTCAATTCTATTTAATTTTATTTAGAATAAGTTTCAAGTATAGTAACCAAAGGAGCCATAGAAGATTTAGTAGCCTCGGGCCCCAGAAATCTTACTCCGTTCATGATTGATAGCAAAAATTTTCAAGATTTGAAATGAAAATTAAAATGAAGATGACATTCCCTATCCAAATCTTATCAAAATGTTGAAAAAGTAGTTCTACTATCAGCATCGAACATTATTTATTGAATTTTAAAAGAAATTGAACTTGTGTAGAATTTTAAATAAATCAAATCCACATTTTGTTTTCTAAGCTTTATCTCACTCGAAATCCGAGAAAAATACATGTCTGTGAGTGGAAGCGGGTATCCCGTTGAACGTATTGCGATCTAGCCCGAAGGATTCGGCGTATCGCGTCTTTCTGATGTCGGAAACCGAAAAAGAAACTTAATCCCCCCGATGGCTGGGAATCCGCTCGAAATATCGTTGCTCGCTTCGCTGAAGATCCTCGCGTATTGGCCTCGTTTGCACGTTTCGTTTCATCCGCCATCCTCTTGCTTCGCAATCTGATCGTGATCCAGGTATTTTCCGGTTTCGTAACCAGAATAGGGACGTACTATCCCCGCCGAGGTGGGTTTGCTAATTCTGACGTCTCCAAGGAGCTGTTGTGGCTCCTTTTCTACCTTTCTCTTTTTATATCCTGATCCTGTGACCCTTATTTTCACTCCTCGACGAAGCGAGAATTCGTCCAATTGCTCCTCGGGGCACTTTCTTCTATTGAATTGATACTATCTTTTATTTTGAAATAGAAAATTATATCTATTTTTAATAACCCTTAAAGGCTATTATCAACTATCATCCTTAGATAAATTTAGTTGTTAAAATATGTGAGAGGATTATCAGTATTATGATAAAATAATATCACCTCTGATAATCTGAATAAATATATAAATAATTAATATTAGTGTAGGGACGCAAACAGAAAGAAGTTTTCTCCTGCATAAAGAGAAAGCGAGGTTCGAGCATAAACAGATGGCCTTTTAACACAAAGGACAATAAAGTCGTTGTGCATTCGGATTCGGCGACATCGGTAGGTTTTAGCCTTCGACGCGTTGCTACGCGAGAAAACTAAAGTGTTTAGAGGCGTTTAAGGGAAAATTTTCCTGTTTCTTTTCTAGAAATATTCCGGGTTTGCCTAGGCTATATAACGTCTAGCTAATCCGGCGGAGACAGTTTGTTCTCTTACTTACGTCCCGCAACGTAGTTCGGTGCAATCTTAGTCAAGTTAGAACAGTTACAATTACATTAGCTAATTGTATTTTACAAGTTATTATATAAACTATTTATTCCTACAACGCGAGTGTTTAATTAATTTACCTACGCATGTGATCTGAAATTAGCAATTGTTTCGTTTTTCAATCCTTGGACGGCAGACCATGGAGAAAGTCCCAATTTTAATTTGATATGATATTTCATATTATTTTCATTTTCTATATTTTACACTGTTCCTTTAAAAATTATTCATCCAGTAAATGAACTTTAGATCAATATCCTTGTATATGTTTTGCCAGTTTGGGTCTCGATTGATCCAGACTCTGTTATTCAAGGGTTAAATAACATAAGACGAAATTAGCTTCCAGTGAAATTTTACCTATGATAGCTTTTAAGAGTGTTAGGTTACATTTAAGGAACAGTTTAAAATTTAAAAAAAAAGATTAAAAAGAATTCAAAATTAAATTAAATCTGTTGTCAACGATTAAAATTGTAGAATTTATTTTCAAATCTTAAATATAACACCTTAATAATAGAAATCATATAAAAAGAATGTAGAATAGTGCTACCACTATTTTGATAAAATCAACCCCACTATAAGAAAGTTTTACAAAATACTTCATTATTATTATCCTTTCAAACTAAATTTGTAGAAAGGAAACACTTTTCCCTGGGTTCTCTTTTGTTACGAGGACATCATCATCGAAAGTGTCGTAGCTTCATTGAAGTATTCCTAGAATCCCTTATGGAACCTGTTCCGAAAAGGTGGCGGGAAAAAAGGGGGAGCAGTTTCTCCCTTTTTTTTTAGACAATGCTGCTCCTCTCGAGAATAAGTCCTTTGGCGAAGATGAGGGTCGAGCCGATGTCATT